ACTTTCATCTGCAGAGATCAGATCTTAGCTTCAATTTATAGAAATCAATTTGTGGTTTGTGGTGATCTGATAAATAATAGATAGAGATTTATCAGTAAAGCACATGGGTTTTGTCGAATATTAATGAGCCAACACGCCTTCTTATGTACAACAAAATAAGAACTTTAACTATCTGAGGGGTGCATCGTCAGAGTCAGTGACCGAGTGCATGCGAAAACATCAATCTTTTTATGTATTTTGCCGTGCTGCTTGTGGTTTAAAGGCCACATGTGCAGTGGTTAATTAGAGCAAAGAACTGAGCGTCGACTGATGTTGAAACCACTCGTGAGGCTTTGGTGAACATACACCCATTTACACACACAAGTACGCACACAAAGTTTTGCAGGAAAGCATGACCAGACTGTACTCCATGTTACAGCCATAATTGCATGGCAATAACGTAGTAATTACAAGTCTGGATTTAACAGGATGACATCAACACTGCTTCCTAATTTGACCAATTAGTCTCCATGGAAACTTGGAACAGACAGCCCCTAATCACTATCAGTAAATGGGAATCTTTGCACGTGTGACAGACAAATTAAATGCTGTTAAACCACCGCTTTCTCTTACTGAATTAAAGTCATTTTATTATCTAGACTGGAATCGGTGGTTTTCCTATTCTGGAACACTAATTTGGAAGTCAGGGTTTAAAGGAGGCTGTTTTTGTTGATGTGTTAAATTTAGTCACAAGGAGATCAGAAAAATGAAAAAAAAAAAAGACAGTTCATCAGTATTTTAGGAGTTGTTCATAATAATAATATGAGAAGCAGGTGGTGTATGATGAGCAAAATAATGTTCAGAGGAAGTTTTATAAATAACAATAAAAACACCTGTTCGTAAATGTCACATGGTAAACAATTAAACAACAATCCATCCAAATTTTGCACATTCAATAAACTAAAGCTTGACAAAGGATAACATTGTAATTGTTTAGGTATTAATTGACTTTCATATTAGACTTATTGATGGTTGGTCGCGAATGATCCAGCTCCCGATTTGGAGCCATTGTTTTCTAAACTCCAGTCTTTGCTAAAGACTTGCAAAAATTGTCACCTGATTTTTCCTTTTTGTTTTGCACATTTTCATTTATATTTTCTTGTGTTATTTTGTTCATGTTGTGACGGTTTACAAGGTTTTAATTTGTTTATATATATATATATATATATATATATATATATATACACACACACACAAATATTCAATAAACAAGAAAATAATAATTTACATGTTCTCCTTTTTTTTCAGTCCTGTGTTTTCAAAATGTCCATGAATAAACAATAAATAAAACCCCACAATCAAACAATAACAAAAACAATAAGTGTCCGTTTTTTTCTTCTCTTTTCAAAGTCCAAATAATAGGGGCAGGCAAAAACTCCCATACCTTTTTTTTCTTTCTTATATTCAAAAAAAATCATGTCAAAGCATCAATTTTGTTTTCTAAATAAAAACAATAAAAACTAATTAATAACTCAAGTAATTTATTTTATCAATTTGCAATAATATATATTAAATTTAAGATTAATCATGATTAATTTACAGCTATGTTGTGATGAATCATATTTAAAAAAATTAATCATTTGACAGCCCTAAATTTGTTTGTAGCACTTCGTTTTATGTCGAGTCTATAAAGTCATGTCAATAAACACAAGAAAGGAAAAGCGACAACATTAAAACTCACCAAAAAAGCTGTGCTCAACTGGTATGTAATGACAAATTGTGACCCGACCAAAAAAAAAAAGCAACAGCTTCCAAAGCCCAGGAGCAGTGGAGACAGTGGTAAACATTGGTCTTTAATGAGAAAACAACAGCTAACGTTTCGGCAGTTCTTCATTACAGCTCTGCTGCTCCTGGTTTTGGAATTTTTTTTTTTGTTTTCTGTGCCATTTAAACATTTAATATGTTGTATATTTTTTACACAAGTGATTTATTTACACATACTTTGGTAATATGCAACAAAAAATCAGAGGAGCCACTTGGGAGCCAAAGGAGCTGATCCAAAACAACAGGCTCCCTAAAAAGAATTCCCATCACTAATCGGCCTAAAATGTGGTATGCTAATAGCTGGAAATCATCCTGAATACAAGTCCATTGTGCAACATTTTTGCCTAAGCAACACTGTCTTTTAGAAAATACATCCTTCATGAAACCTTTGACTATTTAAACTTTGTCTTGAATGTCATTGAACTCAGTCCAGATGTCTTTATCAGCTGCTAATCTGTGCTGGATTGAGTTGTTGTGTCTGGAGAAGACTCCCGAACAGACATATTCCTGTTCAAGCCTTTGGACCTGATTTCTGAGCAAGCTTCCACTTTGGCTCAAGTTCCCCTGAAGTATTGATGAGAGCTGACACTAATGGCGATGACAATGAAATCTCAGCCTATCAATTATTGATGCGCTCGTTAGCATGTCAGCTGTGGGCCGAAGCTAGAGGCGTGTTACACACTGCACAGCTCTCTGCAGGGGTTTGGCAGCGCCCGTGCAGGAAGCCAGGCGACCATCACTCAGCTGCATCCGCGCTGAAAATAAAACGTTGCAGAGTTTTTCACACTTAAACAAAAAGGTCCTGAGAATCTTAGACCAGCTTCTGTACTGACACTTGACATCTGCTTCCTGTCAGAGTCTCCCTCAGAGTTATTGCTGGTATAAAGTCAGAGCGTCGTTGGTAGTTTTATTGGTGTAATAGTAACCTTTCTATTGTTAGGTGCTTGTAGGAGCTGAGAGCTTTTACTGCTGTGATATGTTGTTTACAAGTTTGCCTTAGCAAGGGTAGTTGCTCATTTGGAAAAGGTAGGAAAACTGTTAAATTCTTTGTGTTTTTATTGCTTAAACTTTTTAAGATGTTCAGTAAAAGTCAAGTTATATTTTGCTTCCAAGAAATCGGATAATCATGCAATTGTGGACTTAAGCAATGTTCAGGATATCTTAAGGACTTCCAAAAATATATATATTTGCACTTATTTTTTGTCCACAATTTTTTGTTTTAACTGGCAACTAGAGCTGTTGTTAGATTATTTACCATCATTTGTTGCAGAGAAAGCTCAACTGTTCTTGGCATTGTGCACCAAACCAAAACTTATTTGCACGGTCCATTAATCAGGACATACACACAGGATTGCACAAGATGCAGAAACGCTTGTGCGCCCAAACCAAACCATGAGAACTTTCCACTCTCTTTGTATTTGGATGCCGCGCTGACTCCGAACATGAAGCTTGGCATGGCCGCCATCTTTTAACATGGCCAAAATACTTTCTCCAGCTGCTGTTTCTGCAATGTCCCCTTCTACACACACCTAACCCATGTGTATGATTGTGTTCTTTTGCGTCTGTGTGTCCTTCAAGTTTAGTCCCGGGTTGCTGCAATTGTTGCTGCAAAATCCTATCGACCAATAAGACAAAACTCCTTCACAAAACAGTAAGCGTCTAAAAATATTTTCAGGTCAAAGGAGGAGACGAACAGCAGATTTTCCACAAAAGCTCTTTTTTTTATAAAAAAAAGACAAAAAAGAAAGACAAAAACTGACACGAAGAGCAAGGCAGCTGCAGCAGAACAGCTTGACAGCTGCAATGTGGAGAAGTGAATGAACGTTATTTTGTTTTATGAGACGTAATGTGCGTGTAGGAGGCTCTGATGTCGAGGCTTCCAACACATTCACCCTTTGAATTTATCGAATAAGAATGTGAGAAAGTGAGGTGCAGRGTTCAGTTTGTCTTGTTTATTTTTGTGCTCGTAGCCTTCACATATTGGAACCGGTGAAAGTGTAATGAAGATCCATCATCACACGCTGCCAGCCAACTTTGAGATGTTTCCAATATTTCTGTRGCCAGAAACTGCACTTCATTCCAACATTCAACACCGTTTTTGAAGCATACGGTTAAAGTTATTTGCCTTGATTTGTCATGAAAACATACTTCTCCCTGGCTTTTTGAATAGACTACGAATGGATCTTGAATTGACAGTTTGACAAAGCAGCAACAGCACGACAAAGAGAACGATAAAAGTGTTCGAGACACTGACAGAACTGCAGGAACTCTGAGTTGAGACATTATTTTAAGAATGACAGAATAAAGCCATGTGTGATTGTGTTTCAACAGACCAGCAGCAAAGCAAACAGACTAAAGGTCATAAAAATAGAGAGGGGAAAAAAGAAAGGAGTGAAAGCAGACAGTTTGAACACACATGGACTTACCGCCAGGGCCTGCAGCCTCTCTTTGTGGAGCTGAGCCTCCTCACTCGACATCCTGAGGGGGAAGCAGGGGAGAGGGAGGTGAAAAGAMAACGAGAGGTGAGAACTTTTTTGGGGGGAAAGATGGAGGTCTCTCAGCAAAAGGCTTCAAGAAACACACAGGGGATGGAAAGAAGAGGATTGAGGGAGAAGAGGAGGAGGAGTATCCAGATGAGGACCTTCCCCAGCTACAATCCAACCAGGGTGGGAGAAGTTTGCTCCGAGAAGAATCAAAGATCTCTCACTCAGTGGCCATGTGCCTCACGCTCAACCCACTGCTCGCATTTTCTCTCTCTRTCTCTSTGTGTCACCCAATCTTTCTTTGGCTCTCTGCGTCTCTCCTCCCATTTGTGTCCTTCTTCCCAGCCCCCCACCACCCATCTTTAGGCATGAGCCATGTGTGATTAAACAGCTGGGAGGAGCAGCTGAGAGAGGGATGGGGCAACGAGTGTGACGAGAGGGAAGAGAGGGGAATGAAAGGAGGGAGAAGTCCGGTGAATGGAAGCTGGGAACTGGTTTTATGCTCCCGAGTTCTGCAGCTCAACACGTTTTATGTCCATGGCTGCTGTGGATGAGCTCAAAGGATGATGGCAACTACTTAAAAYCAAAAATTAAAACCTTAACTTCAACTTTAGTTTGACTTACATTAAATTTGACATGAAATTTCTCAGCAAAACAAGACCGTGAAAAAGGTTCAAATTAACCTCTAGCTGCTTTAAAAGCTGTGGCAAAAATGCATTTTTTTGTCTTCATAAAGGGCTCCAAATGTATTTCTGTTGGTTGTAAAATTGAAAAAAAATAATTCTGAGATTTTTTTAATTTATTTGTTTTGAAATTATCGTTGTTTATTCAAGTGTCTGTCCTGTCATTTTWAGCTATGGTGTTCTTTTATTTTGAAACAGATCAAAAACAACTGATCAGGCATAACGGTGACAATTGGGCTCGCTCGTTCTTTGAAAGGCCCGAGACACACACACAAACACACACCCAGATGTACACACTAAGCAGTGTGTGTTAATAGGTCACTGTTAATTAGGTTTTAATTTTCATCTCTCTCTTCCGTGTCTCTCCTGGTTTCACCTGCTTTTGTTTGCAAACTCCTCCACCATCCTCCCTAATTTGCTGACTTGCATTTTTTAAAACACTTTTACTCCCGTTTTTTTCCTGCCATTGATCAACACTAACCATCTCATTGTCCTTTGTCCCTTTTCTCCAGTGTTCTGCTTTTCTTCAGTCATCACCGCCCTCCATCCATCCTTTCATTTTAAATCATCACTTCTTGTGTCTCTTCTGATTCCCTRACTTGACTCCTCTATTGTCCATGTCAGCCATCATACAGTGTCCCTTCACCTGTTTCACCTGTTCTTCCCTCCCTTTGTTCACTTATTCACCTCTTTATTCCTCTTCTCTCCCTCAAATGCTCTATGTTTCTCTCTCCTTTTTCTCCATCCTTCCTTCCACAAGCAGAAGTCCTTATAAGGACAAACAGCAGCAGCAGCAGCTTTTGCGTACCCCTTTGGGAAAACAGAAGCATGTAACACACACACACACACACACACACACACACACACACACACACACACACACACACACACACAC